CTCTGCTTTGGACCAGGTGGGTAAAACCTTCAGCACAACAGAAGATGCAGGGACACTTGTCTTGACTTGTTTGACCACGCCCCCAGCAAACGTGCATAAAAATTACTTGTCTTGAGTTTCAGAGAGGGCATGTTCCTCTTGAATGCTGTTTCCTTGGGAGACACTGAAATGAATAAGACCACTGACAGCATCCCGGTTTTCAGAACATACGTACTGAGAAGTGGAGCAAGAACAGAGTCTAGTTGATATTTGAAGTTATTCCAGTTGCAGTACTCTACCTGTGAGCCCTCTCCCTAACCCCACTCCCATGCGCACACACACACATGCACACACGTGCACACATGCATGTACACACACATGCATGCACACACATGCACACACACACACATGCAGAATCACCTGTATATTGCTTTGCCAAAAACCTCAAGTCCTTGGTCTACCTAAATTTTCCCCTAGCCAAATGACAAGAAAATCAAGTGTGTAATATTTACTGTCTCATTTCCCTAGGGGGCAGACTAGATGAATTGCTGATGGCTTAAGTAGGGGCTCTTGTTTTGCGGCTGTTTCCCAGGCATGTCCTTACTCAGGTGTAATCTTCCCAGGGCCCTGCCCGACACCGTGTCTGTCCCGCACGTCTCCCTTTCTCTCATGCTTGCTGTCACTTGTCACTGCCGTCTGGCTGTTGTTGGCATCAGGCCTCGTTGCTTTGTGAGTACTTCTTGTACAAAACCTTTCATGCTGCCAGACATGTGTGCTCTCTTAAGTCCAATAAACCCATCAAATGCACTTTCTAAGGTGATGCTTGCCCAGACGAAGGACTTCCTTCCTTCTGTCTGAAACGCCTTACTCGGTACTGTCATCTGGTGTCGTGGTGACGACCTCATTGCTCTCCCCAGGTGGGGTCATGCCTTCCGGTTCCTGCCGCCTCAGCTGTCCTGGGCGATGTCCTGAAGCACCACTTTAATCTGTCACGCCCTGCTTGGAAATATTCAAGCACACTCATTGTCTTCTGGACCAAGTCCAAACATCCCAGCCTGGACCCGCTGTTCCACAGCTGCTCTCCAGCTTGTCTCTCTCCGGGTCACTCGCCCTCCACCTCTTGGACGGACAGTAAGTTCATAAGGTAAGTGCTTTACCTTTAATCCCCATGATAGTCGTGTAAGATGGGCATTATTCTTTTTGTTTTTCAGATGGAGAAATTGAGGCTTAATGACACTAACTTGCCCTAATGACCCAATGTGTTTAATTTCCTAGAGCTTCAGAAACTTAGTGGCTTAAAATAACAGAAATTTATTATCTTGCAGCTCTGGACCTAGAAATCCAAAATAACAACCCTGGAGGTCTATGTAGCGTCTGAAGGCTTTCGGGGGGATCCTTCCCTGTCTCTTCCAGCTCTGGTGGTCGCAGACACTTCTTGGCATTCCTCGGCTTGTATTAACTGCAGCACCCCAATCCCCTTTTTTCCCGTGTGTCCAAATCTCTCTCCTTTCTCGTATAAAGGCACCATACATTGGATTTAGGGTTCATCCTAAATCCAGGATGATTTCATCTCAAGATCCTTAACTAGGACATCTACAAAGACTCTATTTTCCAATAAAGTCACATTTTGAGGTTCAAGTGGACATGAATTTGGGGGGCACACAATTCAACCCACTATCCCAACAAGTAAGAACTTGAAACTAGGCCAGGCACAGTGGCTCATGCCTATAATCCTAGCACTTTGGGAGGCTGAGGCAGGAGGATCCCTTGAGGCCGGGAGTTTGAGACCAGCCTGAGCAACATAATGCAACCCCATCTCTAAAAAAAATATAAAAGTTAGCTGTACATTGTGACGAATGTCTGTAGTCCCTGCTACTCGAGAGGCTGAGGCAAGAAGATTTCTTAAGCTCAGGAGTTTGAGGTTGCTGTGAGCTATGATGATGCTACTGCAGTCTAGCTCAGGCAACAGAGCAAGATCCTGTCTCAAAAAAAAAAAAAAAAAGAAAGAAAGAATTTGAAACTAGGTCTGACTATGAAGCATCATGCATTTAATTACTTCACTTAACAGCTACCAGAAACCTCCCTGCCAAATTGGACTCCGCTCATTTTTCTACATAGATTTTTCCCTTTGCTGCCTCTCTGTCTTTGCTCATACTATGTTCTTTATATAGACCAATCTTTCCCTTTTTTTTCCCTTCAACCAACCCTGCCTGTGGAAATCTTGAGTATTCTTCAAGGTTAAGCTCAATACCACTTCCTCCAAGAAGACCTCTACTATTGCACCAGCTAAGCAAGGAATTCTTTCTCCCACCCAAGCTCAAATGCCTTACTGCACGTGTCTCTTATGGTCCTTATCATCTTTGACATTATATTCTAGGTTTTTGTGTAGTTGTCTTCGTTTGCCTTCATGTCTGCCTCCTCCCACTTCATGTCTGCCTCCTCCCAACTGTAGTATAAGCTTCTTAAAGGCAAAACAGCCTTCTCCCCCCGTGTATTCCCACAGCACCTTGCATAAGAAGGAGCTCCATAAGTTTGGCCAAGTGAATTTATGATCGTTTGCCTTTTCCCTGCATTGAATAGTTCATGTATTAGTAAGCAAAAATGTAGGGTGCTTAAAAACCAACCTTTCTCTAATGCTCCTACTTTCCCAAAATCGAATTTTTTAAATGGTCTAATTTTCTTTTCTACACCTAATCCAATCATTTTAATAATTTTTTTCCTTCATTTGAATTTTATCTACTAGCAGCACAGATTATGCCTTCCCTGGTATAATCCTCCTACAAATTTTTTTTCATTTCCTTCCTATCTCTAATGCCACCTTCTGTGGCTTTTCGGGACAGTCAAATTTACTATTCTTGAGGTCTCTGAGGACAAGGACAATATCTTAGTCATCATTATATTCCAGAACTGTCAGTGCCCAGGTGCCCAGTAATATCTGAAGAACACATGAGTGAAAGTGGGGGTGAATGCCAAAATAGGGCAGGGGTAGTCATTGTCCTCCCTGCCACGGTAACTGACATTTCTGCAGGTCTCAAGTAATCCTTACCACAACCCTATGAGGCAGGCATTATTATTATTTCCATGTCACAGATGGGAAAACTGAGGCTTGGAGAGACTAGGAAACTTACCTTTGGTCACATGTGCAGTAAGTGATGAAACCAGATTGGAAGCGGGTCTACCTGACTCCAGGGCTATAGCTCTTAACCAAAACGCCTCTCAGATCGGACTACAGCCTGCCTGGAGTCAAGCCTGGGGAACCCTGGTCTGACACCCTTAAGCCAGGGAGCCTTGGGATCTAGTGGGCATGGGGTTGGGAAGCTCTGAAAGAAGTGATGAGGAAAATTGAGACTGAGAACAGCAAATAGTATGAAGAACGTGTCCGCACAGGGCGTCTGTGTGCTGTTTGCTGTATGTGTATGTGGTGTGCTCAGGCTCTGCGTGTGCGTGCTGCGTATGGGGTGATACATGGGAATGAAAGGGCTGGGTGCGTTTATAGGAAACGGTCTGAGAGACGGGAATAAGCAAATGACCGGGAGTCCCGCTGACTCCAGTCCTAGCTCAGACACTTAACAGCTGAGCAAACGTGGACAAGTCATTCACCCACCTGAACTAGTGTGCTGTGAAATGACCTGTTGACCTCATGGACACATCAGGAGCATCTGTGTTAGGAAGTCCCAATACACGCGGGGCACTGCGCTGAAGAACAGAGGGGGCACGGGGGAAAGAGTAGCGGTCCCTGATTTGAAGAAGCTTCCATTCGAATTGGGGGAAGCAAACATACACAACTAACTCTTAATTTATACAGAATGGGAGGTGTGCAACAAAGAAAACTAACATTTCTGGAGCTCCTTACTGCATGGCAGATGAAAAGACATTAATCTCACAACAACATTATATAGTAGGTGTTATTAGCAACCCCATTTTGCAGATGAGAAAACTGATGGCTGGAAATGTTTAACCTTTACTCCACTGATACTAAATGGCACAGCCAAGATTCACCCCAAGCCTGTGTAATCTGAATCTTTACTCTTATCACTTCCTTGTACTATTTCCTTGAGCAATGCAAAGATGCAAAGTGCATAGAGATGGCAAACTTTGCTCTCAACTTGGAAGAAGGAGGAGAAAGGGCCAAGAAAGCAGAGCAGAGACACCTACTAAAACTGTGTCACATTAGCAGGGCATGGTGGTGAGCACTCGTAGTCATAGTAGGTACTTGGGAGGCTGAGGCAGGAGCATTGCTTGAGCCCAGGAGTTGAAACCTGCAGTGAGTTATGATGACACTACTGCACTCCAGCCTGGGTGACAGAGGGAGACCCCATCTCTTTAAAAAAAAAAAAACTCTTTCAGCAATGTCTGAGGTCCCATGGTTGTCCCCATCAATGTGTATCTGAGTACAAACCCAGAAAGATAGGAGAGGAGAGTGAAAGAGGGTGCATGCATGCAGGGCCAGAGGAGAGATGAAAGGGGAACACCAGGAAGTTCCAGTCCAGCAAAAGGGTCGCACACGGTTGCTGGATAGATGCCACGTGATTAACATCAAATTGCATTAATGTCAGAGAGGAGGATTGGGCTAAAGCCTTGCCTGGCTAGATCTCAGGCTGGAAATCGCCAGTTTCCTTTTTTTAATTTTTCCCTAATCCTTATAACTTCCTCTAATGCCTTAGTCAAGCTTAAGGCCATGAGCCTCCTGGGAGCAGAGCGAGGCCATCTGTTCAGTCAGGCATGTGCCAGACCAAAGGGAAAGGTCAATCTGGCTTTTACTGTAACTTAACATTGCGATGACCCCAAATAATTCCCAACTGTATCAGCCAGAAATAACTCTGCATTACTGTGAACCAGGATTCCAAAGCGGAGGTGTCAGGAATACCCTTTAAAAACAGATAACAACTGGGCTACTGCTAGTGAGAAAAAGAAATAAAATAATAAAATAGATGTGTCTCTTTAGAATGTGCTTACTCTAAGAGCTATATAAAAATAATCATAATCATCTTGCTTGGAGAGGAAAAACATTAAGAATACCCTTTTTTCCAAAGATTTTATTTCTTTTATTATAAGACATATAGGTAAAAACTTGTATAATTTTGAAAAAGATAGAAAATGGTAATAAAATGGATATTTTCTCATTAAGAAATGTGTTCATAAATATGCCTTATCAAATGTTAAAATGGTTATTTTGCAAAATAATAATAAATAGAGCAGAGCTGTGGCATACGAGGGTCAACCCAAAGTACTAGAAGTTTCTATGTTATGTGTTTTATCAAAATTCAGACTTTGCTTATATTTTTAAAATTGACATTTTATACTCCAGGCTATCAACAAATTCAGATCTAAAAATATTTTTATGATGGCTCCATGATTGCAAAAATAATAAAACACAAAAGGTGGTTTGACTAAGTAGAATATGATTCAAATAATTTTCCCCTAAATAAAAACCTATAAGACACATAGGTAAAGATATAATTTTTGAACCTATAAGTGGTACATGTATCAGTTCCCAATTCTACAAGACCCTGTGGGCATTGAACAAAAATTGTTTGCTAAGCTTTAGTTTCCAGCAATTTCTTTTCACAGTTAGATGGAGCAATAAGAGTCACAATTTTGATGAGTTCAGTTCTACGAGTCTAGCTCCACAGATGTAAGGTATGTAGAAAGTACTCCCTCCTTTGCATAAACCCCTCGTCAGCTGTCCTGTATTTGTTTATGACCCACTGGCCTCAAAGTCACATATTGAAACACTGGGTGATATTTTAATGACGAAAAGTTCCCGTTCTGGGCATTCTTTCATAAGCTTCAATTCTCTGCTATCCAAAGGAGAGAAAAAACACACGTGAACACCAAACACATCCTCTAATGAGTTGTGGGTGTTCGAGTAGTAAGGTCAGGCTTTTCCTGTAAATAAATACTGACTTTTTACAAAGATCTTTCTCATGCATCATGTTGCCCATGAGGCGAACACATTAGTTCCTGGCTGCAATGGGGGAAGCCACGTCTAACAATACTTAAGTATCCAATCTAATATAGATTATTGGTCCCAATGGCCATCAGCGACGTCCACTAGAAGGGACGTCTGCGTGACTCTGGGCGCCTAGAGCACAGAGAGGTCATGGCAGGATTTGGACTTGAGCTTGAAGGCCATATTCTTGTTGTTCTTGGCCACGATCTTGCCCCAGAAGCGCCTGGCTTTCCTGGGGATGCTCTCCCTCCTCTTCTGGTAGGCCAGCCGCCGCTCGTTCTTCTCCTTGCTGTCCCGCCGCAGGCGCACCTGCCGCACGATGCCCTCGAACAGCTCCTTCACGTTGTGCTGGACAGCCGCGGAGGTCTCGATGAACTTGCAGTCGAACACCACGGCGCACGCCCTCCCTTCTGGAAAGCAAAGGAGGGGAGAAGTCAGGGAGGCTGCAGGGTACGAGCGTGCACAGCTGTGCAGCCCAGAGCCAAGCTGGGTGACCCCTCAAGGTAACTCCAAGACTGTCCTATGTGCAGGGGACAGAGAAAGCCACTAAGGCACAGGCCCTCCTGGGGTGTAAATAGAAGGAAAGAGTCTCACTGGAAGACGCCTGGAAGCAGGAGAGATGGGCTTTGGATCTGGTCTACCATAAATTTACTGTCTGCAGGTCTGATTGCATCAAATATAGCGATATTAATTATAACAGTAAAAACTATAGTCTTAATTTACTGCAGACCATGCTAAATTTTTACAAACATGGTTTTCAGTGCTCACAACAATCTCAGAAAATACATTATTATCCCTATCAGTGGGTGAAGAAACTTAGGGGGTCTTTTAAAACCTGGAGGGATGTCATACAGCCTGTAAGTGGCAGTGAATCCAGGCCTGCTCAGTTTTCAAGCCCATATTCTTAACTCTTTCTCTTGACTCAGTCTACTGAATTGAAAATAAGAATTCTAGTACTTGGCTTTCTTCCCTTACAGAAAAAAAAAAAAAAAAGAAAGAAAGCTATGATGAGATATTTGAGAATTTCACAAATGTAAAATACAGTTATATAAAACTATATATATATATACAAGATTTTCTAAAACAGACTCAATTTCAGTTATTTAGTGTGTTCAATGACCACGTGTCAAGTGTTGGTTTGGAAAAATGCAATTACCATAGAAAGTCATGTCCTAGCAATATGACACTCACAAACTGTTTGTGCACACTGTCTTTATCACAAGTCTCTCCTCCTGAGCAGGGCCTGGCAATGCAGTAGCTCATGTTTATAATTGTACCAGGGACCAAATCTGTATTAGGCCAGCAAAATCTCAAGGCTCTAAAAGCACTTGGGTGGGTGCGCACTCAACAAACAGGAATTACCTCTGAACTAAGTATGAAGATATGTGACGCCATCAGACTGACCCCTTAACTGAAATTTTAGAAGCAGGGGATCGGGGTAGGGGGTGTTTCTAGGGTTTACAGGGGCCAGAGGCGGCCAGAGCAGAATTCTTTTTCTCAGTGAAACTCGCAATCCCCCTAAATCAGAGTTCCCCATCCTTCTTGCACAAAGATGCTACTTTTACTTCCCCGAACTCCCTGGGGAATTCCAGGAAACCCCTTGGAGGTGGGGAGACTGGAATCCCGCAGGGAGACCAGATGGACAAGGGAGCAGCACCCAGCATGGAGATGCCCTCCCGGGACTGCAGGAGTCGCAAGGGCACTCCTAAAACCCCATGCAGCATCTTAGTAAGTCCCTGGCTCCAGCCTCCTAAAAGAGGAAGGGAAGAACCCTGTCTGCAGGAAAATGCATGCCATCCAGAGACTGTTTCTATGGTATTGGCACCACCACTCCTCTTACCTGACACAGACACTTCCCGGCACCGCACTAAGTCACTTTTGTTGCCAACCAAAATTATAGGAATGTCCTCTGTCTGCCGGGCCCTGCGGAGCTGGATTCGCAGCTCAGACGCCTTCTCAAAGCTCGCTCGGTCTGTGATGGAGTAGACAATCAGGTAGGCGTCCCCAACTTGCATGCAGTGGTCTTGGAGCCAATCGTTCTCCCCCTAATAAAACAGTAAGACCTTCCATGAGCTCGGGTTGGCCTGGGGAATGACACGACAGTTTGCAAAGAAACAATAAGCGTATCCTAAATTCCCCTGCCAACAAGGGAAAGGAAGAAAACTACTTCCAACTCCCCAAAATGCGTTGGTCTTTCATGCCTGCAAGATGTCTAGTGGCTGCAAAGATAGCTACCTTGTAGAGTATTTATGCCAAAACCTTTTCATTTTCTAGTATCTTCTGCAGCTTGAGTTGATAAATTACACAACTGCTCTGCCAAATAGTATTTCCAATTTCTATCCAATCTACCCAGAATGAGCCTTTTCTGGCTTTCCCAAAACTCCCTCTTGCCTTTTTCAACTGATACAATTAAGATCAGCTTTGGGAGAATAGAAGGTTTTTCAGTAAACAGAAGGTCTAGCATGTGTGCTCAGAAGCCCAAGATCTTTAAGAAGCAAATGTTGAAAACTAGGATTAAGAATGTCAACTTCATATAAGATGGATTGATGTAGTTTTAAATGATTGTCCATGCTTGTTTACACTTTCCCGAAGACAAACACACTTTTTTGTGTTTTCTAAAATGGAACTAAGGGCAAGTCACTGCACCTTGCTTGTTATTCAGAACTCATTTGCGAATGACCTGTTCCTTAGAACAGTCTCAACCTTCAGCAGCAAAGGCTTTTAATCAAGAAAATGAGCCTAGCCTCATCTGGAACACCAGCTATATAGGACAAGGTCACCCTCACACCAAACAGCCTGTTGAAAGGCAAGCCCTGGAGGAATTCACAGAGAACTATGAGCTCTGCATACCTTATTTTCCCACATATCCAGGAGTATAATTGTTGCGCTTTCCCCATCGACAATCAGGGTTCGTTCGTACGTATCTTCTAGAAAGGAAAGAACAGTGATATTGGAGTCAGATGAATATGCAACACTTTTCCACAAGAGGGTCATGTAGAAAATTATGCTAGAAAATAAACTTACTAAATATGCAACTAATAATTTAAATATACAGATATCTGCAAAGATAAATTGCAAATTTTTTATCACCTTCAACAATATTCTACATATATTCCTCCAGTAATTACTAAGCAGAAGGCCTGTGTCTCTTGAACATGTATCACTAAACCATGCGCAGTAAAAAACATTTGTTTTCATCATTCCTGGACCTTTTATATAGGAAAACCATTTATGAGGATAAACTCACTTAAAAGCTTTTGACTCAGATTCAATGGATGATGGTATGAGAAAGTATTAACTGCCCTGTGGAATCGTAAGCCCCATTTTCATAAGCCTCACACAGAAATCCATTGTACCTTTCAGTGGGTGGTTACTGAACATTCACTGGCAATTTCAGGAGCTTTGAGCTCAGAGACATTTCTCCTCTTTGGAGAAGTACAAGAAAAAGATCCTGAGACTATCCCTGTTTTGGCTGTGTAGTTTTCTTCCTTGGAAAAAAAAATGCCGCTCCCTAGGAATAAATGGGCTTGTTTTTCCTTTTTTGAGTACAGCAGAAGTGCTGCCTCCAGTTCCACTTGGTAATGGAAACTTTCCTCCCTGCGCTGGAGCCCAGACTGAGTGTAGGTGAAGGGTGAACGCAGTACAATGCACCAAAGTAGCTCCATTCTGGAAAAATCTGTCAGGGGAGGGTTTGGAAGGGGTGTACTGGGATTTTTGCAAGAGGGATTCCCATCAACCCCACACAATCGAGCCTGTCCCCAATCTAATATTTTCACAACCAGGTTTCCTGTTTCCAATGTCACCATTTGAAAAGTACAATTTTCATAATGTTTTCATCCAGTTTCTTGTTCTTTTTGCCTGGAATCTCTGCCCTCAGATATCTGCAAGGCTTGTTCCCTTACCCCTTTCCCTCCTTCTGGGGGAGGTGCTTCCTGGCCGTGGATTTAAACTTGCAACACGTCTCTCCCACCGACACTCCTTACTCCGTCCCTGTTTTATGTTTCTTCGTTGCACTTATTGCCGTCTAACACGCAACGCATTGAACTTACTTATGTTTTGCCCCTTCACCCCCTAGAGCCTTAGAACAGAGATTTGTATCTGCACTATTTACCGTGGCCCCAGCACACAGGACAGTGCCTGGTACGCTGCTGGTGCCCGATACCCATCTGCCCAGTGAATGGCAGATACAGCACGTGGCCATGGGCAAAAGCAAACCTGAATTAGCACCAGGGTGCCATCCCCTATTAACTGCGTGGCTCTGGACCACTTACCTAACCTCACTAAGCCTCCGTTTTCTTCATCTGTGAAATGGGACTGATAATAGTGTCCGCACCTTAGGGCTGTGTGACAATTACATATATTGAGCCTGGGATGAAAGTAGCAACTCAATAAATGTTAGCTGTTATCATCACTTTTGCAGGTGGAGGCAGCTGGTTCCTACCACAGGTAATTCCCAGCGTAAGAGGGAGGAACTAGAAGCTAGGAATCCTAGCTCCGTGGGGGGAACCAGGGCATTTCTTGTTTTATAATAGCAAGGAGTTTCTGAAAAGCAATGCTCCTGGTTTAATGTTTCTTCTCCTAGAAACTGGAATCAGGAGAAGGAAAGGAAGAAAACCATGGACAAATGAAGAGAGTTAACCAGGCCATTTTTCTAATCAGTGATAATAGTTTCCCACTGGGGGATTAAACTCTGTCGTGCCCATCTCCCGTGCTGTGCCCACAATCAGCAGCGTGAGATCACAGTGGGATATACTATTTGGCTTTGCGGTGGAAGTGCCCATGACCACAGCACGCAAGCTTATCCAACAGAATGGAAACCAACGGACGGGCATGGGGGCTGACTGCCCCTTACTGCCACGGAGCTCTGATCTTTTCTCTACAACCCCTCCCTGCGCTCAGAAAACTCTCTCCATGAGGCACTTTCTCTGCCCTCGTCCCCCACTCACCACCCAACAGCAGGCACAGGGGACTTGCTTGGGGGACTGGTAGTTCAAAAAAAAAAAAAAACACCACTGTATTCCAATAGCCAAGGGGAAAAGCAAACCCAAAGTTTCTCTCGGTTTAAGAGAGCTCAGAACAAGTCTAGAGCCAAAGCGGACGGAGGACTACAGCTGCGAATGTGGAAACGCCATTCTGCAGGTTTCCTGGCAGGATCATTCTGCCCGGCCTTAGGTCTGCCTGATATCACAGCGTTGGAGACCTGGGAGCCCAAAACAACACAGCTCCTCCCTGCTTTGTGCATGTGGCCCCTCCCTCGCCACCCCCAATCCCTGCACACGGGTTTCTATGTCACCTCTGGCCACGTGCCCCAGAAACTCTTCCAGCGCACAGTGCTGCATCCTGTCTGAAGGCCCTCCGCTCACCAGGTGCCAGCCAGGGAGTAACCAAAGCTCTAGGTTTCTCTTTCTGGTTCATTAGCTCAGCTCATCTTTTAGCCTTTCCAAGTGCTCATCAGGTGCGGAGAGGGGAAGTAAAAGCACACCAAACTCTAGCAGGGCTCTTTGAAATTGGCTCCAGCTAAGGAGTGCAGAGCAAGGGTTGAGGCTCATGAGCCTGGGAGGCTCTTTGGTGATGGGGTCTGGGAACGTCCTCCCTTCCCCAGTGCTCTGGATCAAAGCCGGGGGTGTCCATGCACACTCAACATAGCAGGAGAAATCCTCCTGACAGGCAAGAGGGGGGTTACTGTGGCCGTAGCCATTTTCCCTGGGCCAGTGCACCTGTCTTTCCTCGTTTGATCCCCCCACACAGACTCTCTCCTCCACCAAACTTTAGTCCCACTCCTCCGAACCTTCTTCTCTCCTAGGCCTCCACCTTGGTCTGCACATCCGTCCTTACAGAATTCAGTTTTACCAAGAACCTTGCTAAGTTGGTTTAGTGAAGATCCCTCACCTTCAATATCCGATCAAATTCCTTATCCCCTCCCTCCCTTTCATGTCTAAGTCCTTGGCCTGACTTCAGCTAGAATCCCCCTAATCTTGATGTCTCCTCTGTAATTTTCCATCCTCTGACATCCCCACAACCTGCCCCTTGGCTATAAACACCCACTTGTTCTTGTTGTGTTTGGAGTTGAGCCCGCTCTCACTCCCCTGCTGGGATGGTCTTATGCCTACTGCAATAGTCCTGAATAAAGTCTTCCTCACTGGGTTAAAATTTTTTTCTTTAATGCCCCTGTGCTTGGGGCCCCTCCTGCCCAAGACTGGCTCAGGTGCTGTGTGTGGAACTCACACAGGTGGTCTCTCACACACTGGAACCCGCACCTGCGGCCCCTCAAAAGTTCTGAGGCTCCAGCCTCCTTCCCCTAAAAAATTTTCAGCTGCTTTCAGCTTTCATGGCCCAAGGGATCCTAACGAGCCTTGGAAGAAATGCCTGCTCTGAGAATACTGTCCTCTCCTCTGGTGGCTTAGGTCTCCTCTGCACATGTCAAAGGCCCCAGCCAAGAGTGACCCAAGAGGAGAGAGGCTACAAGCAATGGAACCACCAGGTTTGGAAGACAAGCACATCAAAAGGAAATGGTAGATGCAGAATTTTCTTGAACTAATATTCATTCCACACTTACTCTGTGCTGGGCACTATGCTCAATGCTTAATATGTTATCTCCTTTAATACTCACACACCCTATGAAGTAGGTATTATCCAGGTTATACAAATAAGGAAGCTTGTCCAAGAGCACCCAGCTAAGTCAGCGTCAGGGCTGGGGGCAGAGCACCCATTCATCAGACTCCAAATCCAGTGCTCCTTTTTGCACTACACAGCGTGTGTGTGTGGAGCCTTCTCATCTAGCTCGGGGCCTCCAAATCCTAGCTGTCCTTAGGGTCTAGCTCAGAGACCACTTCTTGCATGAAGCTTTTCTTTGCTATCCACAGAGTGGATGTCCCCAAGAGTGCCCCATCAAGCGCCACGGTATATGTTCCGTAACGATTAAGGAGTGAATGAATGAATGGCATTAAATGTGTACAGAGTCATAAGATTATTGCAATATAACTGTAACATTCATCTTTATTAGGAAAAATAAAAAGAAGAATATTATGTAGATTTTTCTTATGGTTAATGCTGGAAAAAAACAACATAGGATGTGCCTTGGAAAACCTTCCTCTCGGGCAACATACACCAACCAGTGATTCCAACGGGCCTGCAGGTAGGTGATGTCATCCTACACAGTGTAAATCAAGTTCCTCAAACAGGACACATTAGATACGATGGGTCACCTGAGAAGCTTCTTATTATTTAAGGAGATAAAAAAAAAAAAGGATCATCTTTCTCTCTTCCTCTCCTTCCCTCTCTCAACAAAAAGATTTCCAAATACAGAAGCCTGCCTCCCCAAATTCTAGGTATGAGTTGGTCCTTCTTAATACTTTATGCCTATGGGGTTACCACCCTCTGGATAGATAACACTCCATTTTAATTAATTGACAAACTAATTCTAGAAACTCTACTATCCACTAACTTTTTCAATTCCTCCCTCAAAAAAAGAAAAAAACTTTCAGTTGATCTCTTGCTTATGTCAGTCCTGAAGCACTTCATTGTTACTTCTTACGGTAATCATCAATTTTACCCCACTCTGCATGGTAGCCATGGGCACTTGGCTCCTTACAAAGATGGTAGGGGCACCTCATCCTCCACTGTGCACCCCAGAGCTCAGAGGGGGCCAGGCACGTGGCTGACACCCAATGTGCCATAGGACTCGGCAGCATTTGGAAGCTAAATCCTGAGGCTGCAGGGGACAGTGATGGAACACAGGATTTGGGTTCAATCACAACTAGGTTTGAATCCTGGTTACAGCGTGTACTAGCTTTTTGGCCCGAGAGAGTCACTTGACTTTGTAAGCTTCCAATTCTTCACTTGTAAAACAGGGATATTAATACCAAGTTGGTTCCATTTTTTTTAAGTATTATCAAAAATGCGTGTGGGAAGTACTTATTAGCACAGTGCCTGGCACATAGCAGTTTCCCATAAATGGCAAAATGAGAAAAGCACTGAACTAAGATTATAAAATCCCAAATTCTAAACCCAGCTATCCCAGTAGGTGAGTCTAGATAAGCCACGTGGTCTCCCCGAGACTCAGTTTACTCGGCAGGACAGGAATTTTGTGAGGACCAAAATAAACAGCAGCAAATATAAGGCACCTAAGAAAGTGCCCCTCCCCTTGCAAACGTTCACTCAAATGTTAGTTCCTTTCTCCCTGGCCTCTCTTCCCCCGCCCGTCACCTGCCAGCCTTTACAAGGCAAGGGAGAATCAACTGTACAACACCGGCACTATTTCTCCCTCAATTCTCGTTTAGCTATAGTCCCTGAGATTCCAGGAGCGAGGTGAGAAATCGATGGTACATCAGTGAGTCATCATTTATAGCTCAGTTCCTGAGCTGCCTCCTAAAGCACTGAACTCCTTGACACTGAGACAGACAATCAAGAAGAATAAAACCTTCAGACGACACGGGCTGTGGGTAGTGAGGAGTAGGATCCACGCGCATCGAGTGGAGGGGAGAACTGAGTCATCACTAAGACACCTTCCTACCCCGGAAGCCTGTGATTCAGTTGTGAGTCGCAACTGGGAGTATGGACAATGTGACTTGGGCAAGCACTGGACAGTTCTCCCTTCATCTCTGCACACAGCTACCCTGGTCACGTGTGCTAAGACTGAAGCCGTGGCTGAAAGGCACTTCATGGATACCCTTGGCTATTAGGCTTTTCGTATTATTTACTGGAATGTAGGGCTGTGCTTTACCCATAGTTGAGGAGTACATGCATTTATGAGATAATGTCACCCCAACCCAGTTTTGGAAATAGGCAAGGCTTCAATAGACAAACATCTGAAATGAGACTGTACAGGGAAAATTGTCTAGAAAAGCTATAAGACTCTATACAAAGTGTTTATCATCATTGCTGTACTTTAAATTTTTTTTTAAAAATTATCATGCTATTTCAAATATGGATTTCAAGCTATTTTACACCCTCAAAAGCTTCTAATACTGATGGAAACAAATTGATCAATCCATCCTAACAGTTTTTCACATTGGTTTGGCTTTAGAGAGAAAGGCTGTGTCTATACTGAGCTCTGGGAAGAGCATCCAGGTCAAAGTCAGCAAAAGCCAGATCCTGACCCTCTGGCTCTGCCCTCTTTCATCAGCCTTCCCCAGCCAGTGTAAAAATACAATCTAAGAAATTCCCTTTCTGGCCCAGGTACAACAGATTTTGGTCCTATCTACGAGCATTTTCATTTTCTTGCCCCAAGAGCCTGTGCCAGGGCTTTTCTGAGGACTCAGTTCCCCCAACCAGTGCCAAGGACACGCAACCTCAGCCCCCAACTCCACAGAGCCCCAGCCACTTCTCGCTCTTCCTGCCTGGACCACTGCTGACGGACAGAAGCCCACCGGGGCTGGGCCACCTACCTCCCAGCACTTCGCAGTCGCTGTCCATGCTGTCGTGCACGCCTGCAAAGATGTTGGCCAGAGTGGACTTGCCCACCCCCTGCTCCCCTATGAGCACCACCCGGTAGTAGGTGTTCCCTGACTCGGAGGAGATGACTGAGTCTGTGGAGTCAGAGGACCAGCTTTGGCGGCAGTGGTCCTCGGGGGCAGGGGAGTGGCGGCTGTGGTGGTGGTGGTACTGATGAGGCTCTTTCTGTACCATCAGGTGCCTGCCATCGGCTGGGATGCTCCAGCGCTGCTGCTGCGGCTGCATGCCCACGGTGCCCTGGCGCATGGTGACATTATTCAGAGTCATCGTTGGTTCCTAGGGAGCAAAGCGGCCAAGATGTCAGCATTAGTAAGCATGAGCAAGAGCTCAAACACATGGTCAGTCATCAGTGATATTTCATTAGATGGGGCAAGAAGCAAGTATTCCTAATATAAGGAAAAGCAATGAAACGCTCCCCAAACCCCAACAAGCCAGGCTTGCAACTGGACACACACACACTCCCCACCCTATTGGTAACCAGTCCCTCAGGCAGACTGTCATTCACACAGAGCAAAAAGTACCGTTAGCGTTGCCCACTGCCCATGGGCTTCCTCCATCCTCAAAGAAGCCTGATCCCTGCTCAGAGCAGGCAGAGAGGCAGCTGGAAGGAACCAACAGCCTCCAGAGATGGCTTGACAAGCAACAAGTTAGTGTTGCTGGGGACCAGCTGGCCAGGTTAGCCGCTCTTGTCTAAACTTGGCTCTTAATTGCACCCGCATCCAGCAGGCTTTTGTGCCTGGGTGGGAAACACGTGGCAATGACATCACTCCCCCTGGCTGCCCTGGACAGGCACTTATTGGAACTTCCATGTTTAGTAAAGTTGCCATGATGCTCTCCAGCTGCTTGAACAGACCATTACCGGCTGGGTGCGGAGATTCCTGTTTCAGGTTCATGCCTCAGCTCTGCCCTCTTGCCCACAGACACCACTTTGAAAAACATCCCAGCTCCAAGCCTAGTCATTCTGGCAGGGAAACGACCTGCCTGCATTCAGACCTATCAGATTTGCAGAGAAAGAGCTTCACTCTTTTCAAACCACGTCCACCGGGAGAGATTTTTTTTTTTTTCGGCATATTATGGGGGTACAGATTTTAAGGTTTCAATAAATGCCCATTTCCCTCCCTCCCCCCAAAAGTCTGAGTCTCCATCATGACCATCCCCCAGATGGTGCACATCTCACTCATTATGTATGTATATACCCGCCCCCCTCCTCCCTCCCACCTGCCCAATACCCTATTACTGTAGTACCTATGTGTCCACTTAGGTGCTACTCAGTTAATACCAGTTTGCTGGAGAATATATCTGGTGCTTGTACACCGGGAGAGATTTTAATTCCAGTCAGATTCCCACCTTCTTGAAGCAAATCAGAAGACCAAAGGCTCTTCCTAAATAACATTCAGCAACTTCCCTACAACTTTCCCTTGGCAGGACTGCCTTCCCTTGCACGGAGCTCTGGGTTTCCCAGGCTACTTGAGATAAAGTGGAAGCTTTCACATTCGAATCAGCAAGAGCCACTCGTGAGAGGGAGAAACGCACAAGCACTCCTCTCCCCACCTGACCCCCACCCGCCACACCCCAACACCTCGGCCACTAACCAGGACAAGGACGACCAGCTGGTTCTTAAACCTCCAAGCACTGCCTTAGTTGGCCGACTTGCATTCAATCAACAAACAACAAAAGCAAAAAGCCTCACTGAGGGCTGCCCTCTGACCACCCAGCCTGTCGGAGGAGGTGACCCTCCCACCGAATAGAACTAAGCAACCTGCAGATGAGAAGTGACATCCTCTGCACCCGGAGCTCTGCCCCCCACCAGGAAACCGCAGCGCAGCCCGCACCTTCCAGGGGCGCTTTCCTCAACTTAGAAAGTTCTGCGGGCTGCAGGCGCCCGCTCCCTCCCTCTCCCTCCCGGGTGCCCGGAGCGCCCGCGGCCGCCCTGCTTACTTGGCTCGGCCGGGTGGGCGCCGCCGTGTCCGCGCGTCGCGAGGGTCTGCGCCGGGGTCCCGGCCGCTCCGCGGTGCCCGCCGCCCGTGTCGCCGCCCGCAGCCGCGCGGCCCCGCGGCTTATAACCGCCCGGCAGACCCGCGACGGGGCTTTTCCGTGACGTCAGCGCCCCCGCCGGGAGGGGGCGGCTCTGCAGCAACTCCGAGTGGCAGCCACTTGGCGAAATCAGTTACTCGCAGTCATGTGACCCCCCTCTCTCCCCTTTTAAAAAATAATGACAGTTCCATGCCGGGCCTCCTTTATTTTGTTTTATTTTATTTCTACCAGGTGGACACAGGAAAATGGAAAAATACACTAAGTGCCACTTAATTAATCGCCCTTCCCAGCAAAGCCCTCGCGGGCTGTCGAAATAAAGGATGGAAGAAGCGCTGCGAGGAGCTCAGCTTTGCCAAGAAAGCAGGGATCGGCCGGGAGCGCGCGGAGACTTCAGCCTCCCGGATGGGGCTGCAGCCAGCTCGCATGGCCAGGGCTTGATTTAGCCCCATCTTCTGCCTTCTGCGAGGAAAACAGCCTCTTCCTGCCTCCTGTCACCTTCTCTCTGCACGGGGGAGCGCCAGGCAGCCCCGCAGGCTTCGTTTCCCTGCTCTGGCAGGGACCCAGAGAGAAGGGGCCAGAGAGAGGTGAGGGAAGGGGACATGGACCTTGAAAAGGGCAGTTTGGGAAAATGATTAAGGACCCACGCAGATTGTACTAAATATTGCTGGCCCTCCTGCTCTGGGCCAGAATGCTGAGGCTCCTCAATCAGGGAATTCAATCAACATCCCAATCAGCAGCATCTCTGTACCAGGCTCCCTGGCACGGTGGCCTCGGGCGCCGAGCCAAGGCATCCGGGCCATGGGGAGGAGCGCGAGTCCCTGCGAGAGACTCCTGTGAATAAAGGGCACAGGATAATAACTACCACGACCACTCACTAAGTACCTCCGAGGACCTGTTCTTAGTAGGTACTGTTAGGCCTCCAGGGACCTTCATCCTGGCTCCAGCTCTGCGAGGTGGATACATTGCTACCCCCATTCTATGGAGGAGGAAAATGACGCAGGACAGAGAAAGAACCTGCCCAAGGTCACAGCTGGTGGAAGTGTCAGAGTCAGGACTCAAAACCTGGTTTGCCTGACTCTCTGCACAGCACCACCCAGAGAAGGGTTTCAGTGACCTCTTCTTTGGGACATGGGCTTTTCCCAGACTGTGTTTAGAGATGATGCCGGCCTTTCCAACATGGCCATCCGGTTTTCCAGCCAGCTTCATCTCTGGGTTGGCTGGTGGGTCCAGGAAGCAGCCAAAGGCACAAGCATCTATAGAAGTGGATGGACTCTGCTGTGATTAGAGCTGATGTTCAGTTATCCCGTAGGCATGCATCTGTTTGGGGGATTATCCAAGGCTTGCCAGGGCCCAAGCTGGCAAAGGTGGTAGAATAATAAAAACTTAGAGTTCAGGCCGGGCGCTGTGGCTCACGCCTGTAATCCTAGCTCTCTGGGAGGCCGAGGCGGGCGGATTGCTCAAGGTCAGGAGTTCAAAACCAGCCTGAGCAAGAGTGAGACCCCCGTCTCTACTATAAATAGAAAGAAATTAATTGACCAACTAATATATATAGAAAAAATTAGCCAGGCATGGTGGTGCATGCCTGTAGTCCCAGCTACTTGGGAGGCTGAGGCAGAAGGATTGCTTGAGCCAGGAGTTTGAGGTTGCTGTGAGCTAGGCTGACGCCACAGCACTCACTCTAGCCTAGGCAACAAAGTGAGACTCTGTCTCAAAAAAAAAACAAAAAAAAACCTTAGAGTTCCTTTAGTCTTAAGTGTCCTGATCCCAGTCTTCTACTTATTTTTTATTTTATTTTATTTTATTTTTTTTTAGTAGAGACAGGGTCTTGCTTTTGCTCAGGCTGGTCTCAAACACCTGAGCTCAAATGATGCTCTCGCCTCGGCCTCCCAGAGTGCTAGGATTACAGGCATGAGCCACCACCCAGCCCTATTCTACTTATCTAATGCATAAGGAAAGAGAGACCCAGAGGGATGATGACCACTCAGGAGAGGGCAGAGCTGGAACTGGAACCTGGGGATCATCATTCTCTGAACAATGCCCTTCACTTCTGTCAAGTTTTTCTTATTGGGTTAGCCAGGAGGGAATGGCTACAGATGTGGGGAAAGGAAAAGAGAGGCAGGGGAAAGAATGGGGGAGAGAGGAAGAAGGGGGAAAGAGAGAGAGAGAGCCTTTCAAGCGTGTATCACTGACTCCACTCTAAAACACACATCATTGGTGAATTTTCTGCTGAGCTTCTTACTCTGTCAACTGGTCTCAACAGAAACATGGGAGTGAAAACTAAGAATAAATCAATTTATAAGCACATGATATAGTCTCTCAATTCTACTTTTACCCATTGATAAAAACCTAATACTTCATATTCCTAAGAACCTAATTCTATGCTAGGCAATATCTACTATGAACTGTTTCCCATTGGTCTATGTGAAACCAAAGAAAATGAACTTGAAAGACTGGGGAGGGGAGGCACAGCAATGTTGTGTTCCAATAAAAGGATCTGCTTATTAAAATTTTCTGTCCCACCAGAAGCCAGTATAGACAGACAAACAACTACTTAGGAAAAGTTTCGACTGAATGGCAGTCAGGCTGGAATGACTGTTTAGAGAAAAACCCCAGTTATACCTCACAGTAAGCACTTTGAGAGCCAAATCTTATCCAGTAGAGCTCCATCTACCTGGTCCAGGACTCCCGCTCACTGGGACCATCTGGGGGTATATGGAGCTGGAGAAAAAAGGTGGAATCAGGGTATTTGAGCAAGTGGTGAGTTCTGAAGAGGAAAAATTGGCAGAATATTGTAGTTTCTTGTTCTGTGAATTATTCTTTCTGTATTCCTCCTGCCAACATGTGAAACTTCCTCCATTTCTAGTTAAAACGAGTAACTCAAAAGTATAGCAAAGAGGCAGAACTCAAAGCAACAAAAACAATTCACTTTACTGACCAAAACCCATGCCCATCTCAGTTAATCCATAGCACCACTGCAGCTGTCCATCTTTTATGGAGGAAGGTGCTGAGCAATGAGATTAAGTAACCAGCCCAATGTCACAGAGCTGTTAGGTGGCAGATCTGTGCACCCTGGGGCCACAGTCTTGACCCCTGTCCTAGAGTAGGGGATATATATAGTTCAGCCCTTGTTCTCAGGCTAGCCCCACCTTGGCCTACTACCTTCCCAACTCCCTTCAAAAGAGAAGCAGTTTTTATGTGACCAAAACCCATGACCTTCGCTGCACCACCTGTCTCTAGTGGGCAGGGTCACTCTACTTAAAGGCATGAGCCTTTAAGGCATGCTTTCCTCTGTGTCCCCATCTAGGTGAGAAGGGGAACTCAGACTCCCTTTGGAGGCCTGCCCACCTCTCCGTCACTGTTACTGTCTTTCTCTCAGCATGAAGACTTGAGCAATCAGGTCCCATGATTTCAAATGGGATGAGAGAGGGAGGAAAAACGTGGGGCTGTGAATAAAAGGGGGTGGGGGTGCAGAACCACTAACATAATATTTCTTTGAATACCACCCCTTGAAAACTCTAAGGAGGGATGACAGGCAGGCCCCAGGGTCTGTATATGCCTGGATCTACAATGCTGTTCTAAAAGCTGTAATTCTATTCGAAAACAGAATCAGTCACTTAGACTTCAACATAGCACACTGCCTCGTCTATACTACAGACTGACTACAACCAAGGCAGTGCTTGCCCAAGCCCTCAAATGCCACTCAGTGGAAAAGGGGACACCATGCAAATGTTCTCCCTTTTCCTCCAACAAAGAGGTAGATTATACACCAGGCACTGAGTAGGCGATAAAATAAATGGGTTTTTTCCCCCATTGTTCTTTAAATGTTTTGCATTTTAATGCCTTTAGGCAAGGCAAGCTCTGCCAATTCCCCACAGTTCTTACTAATCCCTAATATATTCTACTCCAACCAGCTTGTCTCCCTTATACTATCTACCTGGCCCCCCTAAAGGCATTTGACTTTATAATCGTTGCCTGGGCTGAAAGAAAAGGCAGGGGATTTAACGTCA